CAATACAAATGTTACAGTAGCTGATACACACTGATATTCCTTGGATCAAGAGCTGTCACAACTAAAAAGATACTTTAAAACACTTCCAAAAAAAAAAAAAACTTCAAACTTTAAGTTTAAAGGACCATAAAGTGACTCTTTAATGTGATTGTACATTCAGGCAATTAATGGAGTTCCCTGACAAGGATGTGCAAAAAAGCAATACTGTTTAAACAGTACTATACTGGGAATAACTGCTGTTGCACAAATTGTTACCTTGTCTGTGTCCATGAACAAATTTAGATGAGATAAACTCATGACCATTTCTCACACATTTCCCCTCTGTTTTGTTTCAGATCAGCTGTCAGTGGTTATGGAGGCCATGCAGCCAAGACCAACTAGGATGCTTGTTGCCATATTTCTTTTTGTTGCAATATTGTCATGATCTCTGCTTTGATTTGTTGTTATGAATTCAGTTCTCTATTTTATTTATTTTTTGTAATGTTCCAGAATATAGCACAATAAATAAGTATGGATGTATTTAATAGTGACAGTGAATAAAAAATATACTTTTGTACATGGACTCAGGTCACTTATTTGGAATTTATTCAATTCAATGGCGTTCATGTAAAATATTCAAAGGTTTTATAAAATAAATAGTGAAAAATAAATTACAGTAAAATTGCTGTAATATTATTATACTGTAAAAATAAGTTACAGTAAGGATATAAGGATATAGTACTGTAAAATTAAGTTGCGGTAAGGGTATTTTACTGTAAAATGAAATTGCGGTAAGTGCATTATACTGTAAAATGAACTTGCCATAAGCTACTGTAAAGGGGTAGTTACAGTAACTTACTGGCAATAGTGCTGCCAGTAAATTACCGCAAAAATACAATAAAAAGTCTAACAGTGTACTCTTTCTTTTTGGGAGCAAACTTATTATGCCTTAAAATGCCACAAAGTTTTGGAACAGAGCCACGGTGTGCAAACTGGGATGCAGTCAAGGTCAGTGCTTCTTGAGATGTCCAAACTAAGAACCGAACTTCAGAATTCAAGGAATGAAGGCAGATTTCCTCAGCGACTTCACCTTTAATGATAATGAGTGTCAGCGTCACTCCCCGTGAGACGATAAAAGAGTCTAGCGCCTCAGGCTCAACATCTGCCTAAATCTCTTTCTTTCTCCCCTCCGGCACAGTGAAGAACCCAAAATATTTTCTCCGTATTCAGTTAATTCAGAATGACATGAAGTCATTAAAATTGAATACGCCAAATGGGCCAGACCTGCTAAGTGCCCTTTTAGAAATAAGAACATTTTACCGGCAGGTTAAAGTCAACAAAAAGGACCCTGTTTACTTTCTTGATAAAGTTCCTACTGTTGTTCCAAATAAAAATGGTTAGTCTACAACATCTTGCTCCTACAATCAAATTGCTATATTCTGGTAGCGAGTGCTCCTGAACCAATAATTTCCTGACAGATAAAATCACAGTTCTATATTTTATTTCACTAAACTTCTTGTGTCATTCAGAAATGTCACATTACGCAAGCAAAACATTCATGTAAAATATTCAAAGGTTTTATAAAATAAATAGTGAAAAATAAATTGCAGTAAAATTACTGTAATATTATTATACTGTAAAGCTAAGTTACAGTAAGGATATAAGGATATAGTACTATAAAATTAAGTTGTGGTAAGGGTATTTTACTGTAAAATGAAATTGCGGTAAGGCCATCATACTGTAAAATGAAATTGCCTTAAGAGCATTATACTGTAAAATAAACTTGCGATAAGCTACTGTAAAGGGGTAGTTACAGTAACTTATTGGCAATAGTGCTGCCAGTAAGTTACCGCAAAAATACAATAAAAAGTCTAACAGTGTATAATATATATATAATATTTAAAAAAAAATACATTTTAAAAATAAAAATAGCAAACATGCACAACAAAATTACCAAAACGTAACTAAAACAGAAATACCTAAAATTAAAGTGAAAAGAGAAAATCTAAAAATAAAATCGAGCTCAAAATATGAACAAAAAACTACTGTATTAATGATACTAAAATCACACTGTTTTGCTAATAAAATAAAACATTTGCTCATCCACAGATCACTATATATTAAATGTCTACATAAATCTTTCTTATTGACTAGTGCTGGTTAGAATAAATAATACACATGGTTTATCGATCAGTACTTTTTATTTTATTACTTACAGTAAGTACATTTTGTACTATTACCAGTGGTGGACGAAGTACACAAATCAAGTATTATTTTAATGTTTTTTTACCTAAAACATAGAGACTCTGATGTTAATGTGTCTGCATTCAAGCATTTCAGTGGGCTTAAACAGATCACCCTTTACAGCAGATTTAGTTCACAAACAACTGACAGTTTTGACCTAAATATGATTTTCAGTTACAATAATTAATCCTAAAATTCGACATTAGTAATTTACTTTTAGCAGCATCAGACGCGCGCGCGCTCACAAGATCTCCCGGTTCTTATTTGTGAATTCAGTTCACTGGAGACTCGCACTAAATGGTTCATTTGAATCAGTGAGCTGTCGACTCGAGAACAGCTTCAATCGGATCATTCCAATTCGTGAATGAATCGTTTGGTGCGATTTGCGAACCGATCTTATGCTTTGGAATGTAGTGAAGTAAAAGTAAAAGTTACTCAAAATAAAACTACTCCAGTAAAGTACAGATACTTGAAAAATGTACTTAAGTACAGTAACGAAGTTAAACTACTTCGTTACTGTCCACCACTGACTATTACTCAAGTAAAATGGAAAAGGAGTACTAGTGCTTTTACAAGAGCATAATTTTATTAGGGTATCAAATACCTGAGTACTTGATTTGTGAATTTCATCAACCAATGGAGTGAGTCTGGGGGCGGGACTACCTGTCTGACTGACCAATGGCAGATGGAGGGAGTGTTTGGAAACCTGTTTGAAAACATTTATTCATCAAAGTGCATTGTGGGATACCTCGTGTAGTTTCTTGACGATTTTTCCAGCACTGCAGCTGCAGGAGTTCCAGTTGTCGGTGCCGCAGGCGCAGTTTCCCCCGCAGCGCTGCACCAGGAGGCATCGTGGGAAAAACACGGCGTTGGTCGCCTTCAGCTCCTCGCGGAGATTGACCGAGAAATTGCGCGGAGTGCAGCTGTACTGCTTCACGTCGTCATAGAGACGGTCGAGATCAACTGAGAGGGAAAGAGCGAGACGGATGGGTTTACTACAACCATAGAGACCATCAAACTACATCCTGATCCCAGTAAAAACAAACAGACATATAAAACCTAACAAACACACTCTCCATTGCAAAGTCATTTAAACATACAATGTTTCAACTTTATCAGCTCCACAAGATCAGTGTGTGTGTGTTTGTACTTTGTGAAGAACATTCCAGTGTGTTGTTTTGGATTTTTTTCTCACTTATTTCTCACAATCTGTTCTGGATGGACAGAGAGGAAGGGAGGTATAAATGAAGAGACGGGAGGAAATCACCTCCGTCTGCCTCATAAAAACTGAAAGTGAATGGATAACGGTGCCTGTCTCTGCGCTGTGTGTGTGTGTGTGTGTCATGCAGAACTGAATGCCTTTAAAATTCAATTCCTGAACAGGATGTGAATAGAACACAGTGATTCAAATTTGAATTTAAGCAGAAGAATTAAAGTGAATTCAAGAACATTTGTTTTATTTTAGCTTTATTTTATAGTAATACCTCAAGAATAATATGTAGTGCTGTCAAACGATTAATCGCAATTAATCGCATCCAAAATAAACGTTTTTGTTTACATAATATATGTATGTGTACTGTGTTTGAGACACACACATACAGTATATATTTTGAAAATATTTATATGAATATACATTTATATTATTATATTTGATATTATATATAAATATATTTACGCTCGTGTTTGCGGTCGGTGTGGAAAGCTCGTGGTCTGTAGTAGTGTGTGTGTGTGTGTGTGAGAGACTCACGCTTGTGTTTGCGGTTGGTGTGGAAAGCTCGTGGTCTGTAGTAGTGTGTGTGTGTGTGTGTGAGAGACTCACGCTTGTGTTTGCGGTCGGTGTGGAAAGTTCGTGGTCTGTAGTAGTGTGTGAGTGTGTAGAGCTGCTCCAGGTCTTCCTGCCAGGTGAAGGGGTTCATGTGTCTCAGGAGCTCCTCCACCGTGCTGACGCTGGCGATGTCATTGTCCAGCGCGACCGCAGACAGTGGCGTGTCCGTCCCAGAAACCTCCCTGAAATCCTACAGAGACACAGACTGTAAAATCCCACTGTCCTGCAACACATCCGCTCTGTATCATTGCAAGCGCCAGAGCAGTGGGAACATTCTGCTAAACGTCTCCATTTGGGATTTACTGAAGAAACAAGGTCAAAACAGCTTCTCCAACACTGAAATTCAATTAAAAATACCATGTTTCATCATCTAGAAGTGTGTAATACTTACTGACATCACTGTAACTGCTTCCCAGTTGGTCTGAGACGCGAGAGGTGAGCTGTCCTGAAAAACAGACAGAGACTTCAAACTTTTGTTGTCAGTTTCATTCATTTTTCACAGGAATTTACGTATTCTACATCAGCGGTGAGGGAAATCTGGGAAAGTCATTATCTACGCTGATAAATCCTGACTGTAAACATTCCTGCCGCGCAGCAGCAATCAGCAACACAAACACCATCACTCATGATGTCACCGGCCGAGGAGGCGGAGCTACAGACATCACAGCACTGGCATTTAAAACCGGCCGTAAAGGACAGGGGAGCATTACACAACCATCAGGAGAGCCGAATTAACAAGACCATCAATCCACCTCCACAGTTATACAGCAATAATGAGAAAAAGAGAGATGGACAGAATATAGACAGTGTGTTCAGAACAGCATTTCTTATTGTATATTGCAACTATCACTGGTGTAAAAACATTTTTGTATATTAATATGTAAAATAATTTACAAAAAAATTAAAATAAATAAAAATTAACCTGTAAACAGGGGTTAAAAAAAACGAAAAGAAAAAAAAAACGTTAAATAACTATTAAGGTAGTTGATACTGAAAGTATCAAAAACACAAAAAGACAAAACATGAATGAAATACATATGGAAATGATGATGACTTTTCCAGCAGGTTACTTTAAAAACCTCCATATGCTGAACTAATAACTATCCAATAAAACTTGCAGTTGAAAACCATATTAAAATGAAATAAACTATAAGTATAGTTTATAGTCTATACTAAAACTGCAAGTATTTAAACTCTGAGAGACTGAAAAACAAACTAAAAATGAAACTTAAAATGTCCATAAAAACATGTAAATTAATAGCCATAAAATAAAAACTACTAAAATTCAATAAACTTTTGATGAAACGAACTAAAACCAAATAGAACATACTTGAAAACATCTGTATGCAATGAACACACATTTTTAAACATTTTTGAAAGCTGAAATAAAATAATGCAAAATTGAAACAAAAACTAAAAACTGTGATTGAAACTACAATCAAATAAACTACAAGTATAGCTGTTGAATACTGAAACATTTGTTTCAGTCAAAGTATTTTAACATGGAAAGTATGACAACAAATTTAACAATAATTTATAAAAATATTCAAAGACCAAAACAAACAAAACAAAAATGTATTTTGTAAGTGCAAAAGTATAACAACCTTGGTCTGAAGACTGACTTCTCAATTTTTTCCTGCAGTTTACTTAAAAATTTCCACAATTTTCAACACATTTTGAAAGCTGACATAAAATAACACAAAATAAACAAAAAATACAAACTATAAAAAACTGCAGTTAAAAAACGAACTAAAATGAAAAAAAAGAAACTAAGTATTGTATATTTGTCAATACTAAAAATACAAGTATTAAGAAAGACACCTTTAACTAAAATTCTAAGACTAAAACAAACTTCAAAATATAAACAAAAAATAAAAATAAACCCATGAAATAAAAAAACTACACAGCAACTAATGAAACCGTTGCTGAAACTAAAACTTAATAGAAATTAAGAAATTTAAATGCAAAGCCATGAAGATTGACATGTTCTGTTTTTCCCTGCAGTTTACTTTAAAGGGGTCATCGGATGCCCATTTTCCACAAGTTGATATGATTCTTTAGGGTCTTAATGAAAAGTCTGTAACATAGTTTGGTTAAAATTTCTCAATGGTAGGGTAAAAAACACCTTTTTTACCCTGTCAAAAACAGCTCTTTTCAGAGCAAGCCGTTTTGTAGCATTTTCCTTTAAATGTTAATGAGCTCTGCTGACCCCGCCCCTCTCTTCCAAGCTGCTCTCAGAGGGACTGTTTACTTTAGCCGCATTCATCGTGAAACTTGCTAATTAGCACATACACACTGCCAACACACATTTCAGTTCAAACAACTTGTAAAAGTGCATGTAGCATCCTATGACCCCTTTAAAACCTCCATATGCTATGAAAATACAGTTCCCTGTGCTGCCACTCTCGTTACATAAATCTGCTCCTGCGGCAATGCAAACAATAGAAGGAGGTCAGAGGTCGCGGGCGGTCTGTTGTCCTACAGAGACGTCCGGAGCAGAGCAGGAATGTGGAAATGTCAGGAATACCGCAGGTTCAGGGAATTACACATGACGGATCAGACCGAACAAACTGCCCCTGAACCTGAAGTCCAGCAGCTGCAGGGTTCAACCATGTGACTCGGTTACCTTCTAAACATGTTCTTGGTCTTACTGTGCAGGATTCATCAGTGCATGTTGTTTTGAAAGAAAAATAATCTTTCATCAAAATATAAGAACTTGCTCTACCTTTGAAACTACATTTCTGCTGACATAACCATGGCTAAGAAGGTGGAGAAAAATATATATAATAGCAGAAAATGCATGAAAAGGCCATTATTGAGATATATATTTTTTCTCTAAAATAGAAAAAAAAAGTTACTTTAAATTGCAATTATATTTCACAATATTACTGTATTTACTGTATTTTTGATCAAATAAATGCAGCCTTAGTAAGAGACTTTGTTCCGTTTGTTCAGACAATAATGTTACCAACCACAAAACCTGTTACACTAATTTACATGCAATTTATAATCACATATCATTTCGGTAACACTTTATTTTAAGGTTGTCCTTGTTACACATGTTACATGTACTTACTATTATAATAACACTTAATTATGCATAATTACATGCAAGTAACCATAAGCCAAATCCTAACCCTAACCATATAGTAAGTACATGTAGTTACATAATATTACTCAGTAATTAAATGTACAATTACACTGTAACAAGGACACCTTAAAATAAAGTGTAACCATAATTTCTCTACAATAAACCACATAAAATTCCACAAACAAAATCAAAATTCAATGTTAAAGCAACATTTTCTGCTGCATATTCAGTCTCACTCAGAAATATGTTAATACATTATTCAAAGCATCAATTAAGTTAAATATTTAACTTTACATAAACTTTAGGTTGGATAATTAAGTTAAATAGCACTTTAAAACAGCAGAATGATATGTAATTATGACATGGATTTTCTAAAAGATCATGAATATCGAATTCATTTCATGGCTAAAATGACCCTAATTTAGGTCAACATGCCTTCTGCAGAATACAAATAAACAATTTTAAACTAAAACCCCTCATACATCACTAGTTTATGACAATGAACATCAAAGATGCAAATCTTAAAAACATTCAAGGAAAATTCTCTAATTATAGTTAAAGACCTTGAACAAAAAGGCACAATTATGATCAACAAACATCCACTAATCCCAAAAGAAAAGGTGAACAAACATCACCGTTGGAAACTGGACCATATTTTACAAGAACATGAAACAACACTTACAGAAGGCCTATGAAACAAACACATCATCTTCCTGAAGAGAAACTCTCCACATCTGTTTGTGCCATTAACAGACACCAACAGCCTTAAAGGACAAGTTCACTCAAAAATAAACATTTGCTAAAAATGAAACAAACTCATTTACATCTCTGATGGCCTGAGGGTGAGCACATTTTTAAGCAAATTTTCATTTTTGGGTGAACTATTCTTTTAATGAGTGTGTGATTCTGAAGAGTTTTTTTCTTTTATTTTAAGACATGTTTTTAGCTGTCATTTCTCATTATAGAGCTTCTCCATGTACATGCGATAAAGACAGAACTAAACTCAGACAACTCGATTAAGACAGGGTGGATCTTTCCGAATTACATCAGTGTTTTTACCGCAGTAACGCACTCACACGTTCACTTCAGTCTCACGGTCTCTCACTTTCTTGTACTGTCACTCACACCTCTCTTTGTCTCATTCTGGCTCAGAAACAAATGTCTTAATTAAGCCAAACTTTTGTAAGTTCATCTAAGGTAAAAAAGCATTTCAGGTAAGAAGCCGTTACTTTAAGAAGCAGCCACCTAGTAACCACCCAGAACACCCTAGCAACTGCATAGCAACACCTTGGAAACCATCCACAGCTCCTCAACATTGCGAGTTTTGCACAAAACCCAGTTAAAATGCTTAAAATGAAGTTTCATCACATTTATGTTCAGTGCAGGTGTCTGTTTTCATTCTGTTTCCCAAAGCTCTGAAGGAAACGTACAAATTTACAGTTTCACACTCCCAGAAAACATATTGCATATTAATGCTAGCAGCTAGCACCAGATTATCGCCGTTTTGGCCTGTGTGGAGAAAAAAAAAAGCCATGAGTAGTCAAAGCAGGATGGCTTCATTCCCAATAAATGTTGTAAAATATTTCTCACACCATCTGCTTTCGTTCCACCATATAATAGCATCCGCTTTTCAGCGTGTGCACAACAGCTACAGTAAATAAACCTGATATGAAACAGACAGTTCTTGTTCAAGACCAACTATTAATTTTACATCATGATTTTTTTTTTGTGTGTAATATAATATATTACTTTAAGGGTTAAGATTTGTTCTCTTCTGCTCAACAAGGCAGCATTTATGTAATCAAAACTACAATAAAAACAGTAATATTGTGAAATATTATTATAATTTCAAATAACTGTTTTCTATGTGAATATATAGTAAAATGTAATTTATTCCTGTGATCAAAGCTGAATTTTCAGCATCATTACTCCAGTCTTCAGTGACACATGATTCTTCAGAAATCATTCTAATATGCTGATTTGCTGCTCACGAAACATTTCTGATTATTATCAATGTTGAAAACAGATGTGCTGCCCAATATTTTTGTGGAAACTGTGATACATTGTAGTTTTCAGGATTCACAGATGAATAGGAAAGTTCAAAAGAACAGCATTTATTTGATATATAAATCTTTTGTGACATTATAAAAGTTTTCTGATCAATTTAATGCATCCTTGCTGAACAAAAGTATTCATTTCTTTCAAAAAATAATCTGCCATAATGCAAACAGCAGTGAAACTCACCAGCAGTGAATAGCAGATTTTGAATCCTGGTTTTGCTACGAAGTAATCATCCGATTTGAAGGTGATTTTGATGAGGTTTGTTTTGGATGAGATCCGTGATGGAGCTCTTTGTCCGCACCAGCGGCCCCAGATGATGGTGCTGGTTTTAGAAATATCCTCCACTTCCACATAATCATACCTGCATAAACATAAACACCTGATCAAGCAGATCTGCAGGGCCACTTTAAAAATGCTTTGTTTCTGTTCCTCAAATACATTTGATTAGATAAAAATTATAACATCTGTAGTGATTTGGCTATCACAATTAGAAATGTTTGTTATTTTAGTATTCTTTATATGCTATTATAGTATGTATTAGTATTTTGAATTAGCTGTTATCTGCATATTTTCAGTTATCTGCATAATTTTACTTTAAGTTTTAGCAATTGTAAGTTTTATTCGTTTTTTTGTATTTTTCTATTTAGCTTTCATTTATTTTTTATTACATAGTTTGCCAATGCAACATTTCTAATTTATTCTAATTAAATTAGTTCTTCATCTAATTCTATTTATTTTTTCTATTATTTCAGCTTTATATAAATTAACAAGAATAATTTATAGTTTTAGTTTATAATAACAGTGCTGGCACAGGGTACATACAGTAATACACAAAACCATGATCAGCAATGCAGTAATTGGTAATGTGATGTGACATCATGCTTTTATCTTTATCATATAAATTATTTGATTTTACACAGAAAAATATACTGAACAAAATTATAAACGCAACACTTTTGTTTTTGCCCCCATTTTTCATGAGCTGAACTCAAAGATCTAAGACTCAATAAAATGCACCTGTGTTCGTTGTCCATAACATACGCCTGCCCATACCATAACCCCACCGCCACCATGCCACCATTTGCCCACTGAAGTCGGTTACGACGACGAACTGCAGTCAGGTCGAGACCCCGATGAGGACGACGAGCATGCAGATGAGCTTCCCTGAGACGGTTTCTGACAGTTTGTGCAGAAATTCTTTGGTTATGCAAACCGATTGTTGCAGCAGCTGTCCGGGTGGCTGGTCTCAGACGATCTTGGAGGTGAAGATGCTGGATGTGGAGGTCCTGGGCTGGTGTGGTTACACGTGGTCTGCGGTTGTGAGGCCGGTTGGATGTACTGCCAAATTCTCTGAAACGCCTTTGGAGACGGCTTATGGTAGAGAAATGAACATTCAATTCACGGGCAACAGCTCTGGTGGACATTCCTGCAGTCACCATGCACATTGCACGCTCCCTCAAAACTTGCGACATCTGTGGCATTGTGCTGTGTGATAAAACTGCACATTTTAGAGTGGCCTTTTATTGTGGTCAGCCTAAGGCACACCTGTGCAATAATCATGCTGTCTAATCAGCATCTTGATATGCCACACCTGTGAGGCGGATGGATTATCTCGGCAAAGGAGAAGTGCTCATTAACACAGATTTAGACAGATTTGTGAACAATATTTGAGAGAAATAGGCCTTTTGTGTACATAGAAAAAGTCTTAGATCTTTGAGTTCAGCTCATGAAAAATGGGGGCAAAAACAAAAGTGTTGCGTTTATAATTTTGTTCAGTGTATATAATACATTAAGTTTCTTTTCTGTCCTTGTTTCACTTCTTGCCTCTTTCTCATCCTATAAATTCACCTCATCTCTCATCTGTTTTTCCTGCTTTATTTTTAGTCTCGATGTCTCGAGGGTCTTTATAAAGTATCAGCTTCACAGTAAAACCTCTAACCTCAAGGACAAACCCGTAACCTGAGAGTCACTCCACACACACTGCGCTCAGATCCTCGCTCTGATTGGCTTTCTGCTCATTAAATATTCGTATCATGTTTTAACTCTTCAGGCCTTTATTTCTAGTCCAGAAATGCAGAATGAGAACCAAACCTGTTATTCTCTCCCACATGTTACAACATGATTTAACCATGTAGGACATGCACCTGGAGCTCCTGGATCAACGTTCCTATGAATTAATCAGATTTATAGCTATGTAAAGGGCTTTAGGTTTTGATGCTTGTTAAACTGTTAAATATTTACCATACAGACCAACCCAAAGAGTCAAAAATGACACTTTCTCAACAGTTTAAATAGATCTAATTCATTATTCATAAACGCTTCCATCCGAAGCTCCACCCCATTCTCTGCCTCTGCTTAAAACCTGTAAACAAATCTAATTCATTACTCATGAAATCAACTATCTGAAGCTCCGCCCTCACCTGAAAACTCCATTCTCCACCTCAGCTTAAAACATTTACATAGATCTAATTCATTATTCATAAACTCGTTCACCCTGAAGCTACACCCTCACCTGCAGACTCCATTCTCCTCCTCCACTTAAAACATTTACATAGATCTAATTCATCATTCATGAACTCATCCATCCGAATCTCCGCCCTCACAGGAAAACTCCATTCTCCGCTTTCACTTAAACTTAAATAGATCTAATTTATTATTCACATACTTAACACCTTCACCTGAAAACATTTTTGTCGTCCACTTAAAACTCTTAAATAGATTCAACTTATTATTCATGAACTCATCCAGCCGAAGCTCTGTCTTACCTGAAAATTCCATTCTCCACTTTCACTTCAAAAATGTTTAAACGCATCTAATTCATTATTCATGTACTCCTCCATTCTAAAGCTCCACCCTCACCTGCAGACTCCATTCTCTGCCTCCTCCAGTCCAAACTGAGCATCGAATTCCAGCAGGATGCGCGTGTGGGGCGGCGAGAGCAGTTTCCATGACAACAGCAGGTTGCGGGGGTATGAGTTGGGGAAGCGCGGGCTCTGGATGTGACCTCCGCTCTTGACCATTATGACCTCTTCCTTCCGGTACAAGTCTGTGAGGCGATTGCTGTCTGTTACTGGTCACAACTCGGACAGGTTAGTGCATTTAACTCTCGGAGACAAACAAACAAACACAGATATACACAAAGACAACACATACAAAGGTTAGAATCCATTTCATTTCAGTTCAGTTCAGAAAACGGCATCAATTCAGCTCAAATTGAATTCTCTTCAGAAAAATAGACCAGTTTACTTCTAATTCTCTTGAGGAAACAAACTTAAAGTACTTTAGATCCAACAGCAAATGAATTCCCCTCAAAATTGTCTTCGTTTAAAGAACTTAATTCACTTCTAGTTCCATTTAGGAAGTAAAGTGAATTTACTTCTGATGCTCTTTGTGAAGTGATCTGAATTCATTTTTGATTTCCTTAAGGAAACTAACCCAATTCACTTTTCTCTTTTTCTTTTTTTTTAGCAAAAGAACTCATCACTTTAGATTCTATTCAGATCCAAAGTAAACTCAATTCACTTCTGATTCTTTTTACAAAATAAAAGACTTAATAAAAAACTTAACTCCATTCAGGAACTGATGTTTATTTATTTCTGATGCTCTTTGGGAAATTATCTGAATTGACTTCTGATCCACTTCAGGAAAAGAACAGACTTCACTTTGGATTCGCTTAAAAAAAACTTTTAATTCTGTTCAGGAAGAGATGGTTATTTACTTCTGATGCTATTTGAGAAATGATCTGGATTCACTTCTGATTCTCTTCCAGAAAACAACCTTAGTTCACTTATTATTCACCTCAGGAAAAGAGCTAAAGTCATGTTTGATTATCTTCAGAAAAATGAACTTCACATGCTTCTGAATCTTATTATAATAAAAACGTGATGAACTTCTAATTGTTCATGAAGTGACGTGAATTTACATCTGATACGCTTTTTGAAGTGACCCAAATTCACTTCTGATTCGCTCCCAAAAAATAACCCAATTCACTTCTAAATCTCTTCAGGAAAAGAACAAGTCACTTTTGATTCTCTTCAGAAAAAAAGAGCTTAATTCTTTTTGAATTCTGTTCAGTTAGTGACGCGAGTTTACGCATTCTTTTGGGAAGTGATCTGAACTGACTCCTGATTCTCTTTAGAAAAAGAACATAATTCACTTTTGATTCTTTTGGGGGAAAGAACATTAATCACTTGATTCACTTTGGAAAAGTGAACCGAATTAACATCTGATTATAAAGAAATAACCTGAAATCTCTTCTGATTCTCTTCAGCACACACAATCAATTCATTATTAGAATTTGAGCTTAATTTCTGAACTGATTTCACTGAAATGGACCACAGAATCTCCGACAGAACACAAACACACACAAACATGAGCAACACGAGAGTAGTAAGACAGAAATGGAGAAATGCTGACAGGTCTATAGAAAAAGACAGACATGCTTTTAGCCCACAAAAGTAAAATATTAAAAATAGCAGATGTTATGCAACAGGAAAACAAAGATCATTCAATGTGACAGTTCATGAATCTTTAAATCAGACCAATGAGCACATCTGATCGCTGTAAAGAAAACTAAAGAATTCATGGTTCGCTAAACGAAAGTGACGACATCGACGGTGACCTGATATGATGTCAAAATGATGCAGGCATGATGATTTTTTTCATTTCCAAAAGCTCCTTGACTCAGCACCACCACAGCGTTCACACACACACACACACACACACACACACACACATACACACATACACGCATACACGCATACACGCATACACGCATACACACACACACACACACACACACACACACTGATTACTGATCCATGCATGCAGCAAACACTTGTGATTATGGCTATAGTGCAGGAACAGGGCCACCATCCATCACCATGACAACCTGCTGACCAATGAGCTTTTAAATGAACTTAACACACAGGAACACACAGTCCGCTGTAGCTCTCTCTCTCTCACACACACACACACACATACATACACACACACACTACTCGCTTATGTCACTTCTATAAGTGTGATACTGACAGACAGTCTAACAGCTTTGAGTTTAACAGCCTCATTTACACAATCTCACACACCGTAATACTTTAACACCAATTTGCTTCAACTTTCTAAGAACAAATACACACTGTACATACACACTCATCACAAACACACACACACACAGTTCTAAAAGCTCTTAAAGTTTGGTGTGTTAAAATATGAGCTGTTGTCATGTTCATGTTCATTAAATGTTCATGACAGTCTTCAGGACAGAAGAAAGTAGGTTACGTTTCAAAAAGTAGTGAGTTGCCTCACTGTCTACTGAATACAGTACACACTTCTAAGACAAAATCCCAACAGAAAGAGAACATCATAAATGATTTAAAACGTGTTACATAGCAATTAACAATAATCTGATGAGGATAAAAATACACAGCACACACACATTAGGTAAAAGGCCAATTTTTAACTTAATTTAATTCATTTTATCATTAATATCTGGATTAAGTGTAAATTTAATTAGGTAATATGGTACATTTTTAATTCTATTTAATGTGTTAATCATCACGTTCTATTCTTAAGTGTATTAACAAGTATATTTAATTAGGTAATACGGTCATTTTTTAATTTGATTACATTTGTTTTATCATTAAGTATGTTTAATTAGGTAATATAGTAAATGTTTAACGTGATTTAATTTGTTTTATCATTAAAGGGGTCATATGATGTTGCTAAAAAGAACATTATTTTGCGTATTTGGTGTAATGAAATGTGTTTATGCCCAACCAAAGTAGTTTCGCTTTCACAACGAAACACACAGCGCCTTCACGACATGGTGGCGGCGGCAACAACAATACAACAGCGAGAATAAAAGTTACGCCTTCTTTCTTTGCGTGAACATTTGGGCGGCGTTATGCAAATCTTCCCACATAGTGAGGTAGATATGTGGGGGCGTGTTAGAACGAGCCGTTTTAGGTAGGCGTGGCTGACTCTTAACTTTTGTAAAGAATATCTCTTTGGATTTGAGACTTTAGTCTTTGCAACTTTACAGATCTTCTTTATGCACCAAGAGCTTGTAACACTTTAAAGAGAAAGGAAAAATTGAAATTGCATCATATGACCCCTTTAAATAATGAAAAAGGCTAACTACACTCTTCTTTGAACACAATTGAAGTAAAAATCTGAAACCCGAAAATTGAAATCGCATCATATGTAAATGTTTAACTTGATTTAATTTGTTTTATCATTAATTTCTGGTATTAAATTACAAGTGTATTTAATTACGTAATATGGTCAATATTTAACTTGTTTTTAATTTGTTATATCAGTAAATTCTGGTATTAGGTCAACTACAAGTTTAATTAGGAAATATGGTCAATTTTCAATTACATTTAATTTGTTATCTTTACGTTTTTTTCGTAAGTGAATTACAAGTATATTTACTTAAGCAATATGGCTAATTTTTAACTTGATTTAATTTGTTTTATCTGTAAATTCTGATATTAAATGAATTACAAGTATATCTAATTAGGTAATCTGGTCAATTTTTAACTTGATTTATTTTGATTTATCATTAAGGTCTGAAATTAAGTGAATTATAAGTACATTTAATTAGGTAATATGGTCAATTTTTAATTCAGCCTAACTTGTTTATCATTAAGATCTGGTATTAAGTGAATTACAAGTATTTTTAATATGGTCACTTTTTAACTAAAATTATTTTGTTTTATGATTTAGTTCTGGTATTAAGTAAATGACAAGTATATATTATAATCTCTCTAGCTTTTCTCTGCTCAGTGTTATTACTGTTAACTAAAAACGATCCAAAAACAATTCTGTTATTTGAAATGAAGGTGAAATAAAAAAAAAATATATATATATATACACATATTCAATGAAAAACTTAAATTAAATGAAAATTAAATGAAAACTGCATTGGCAACTAACTGAAATAAGTTTAAATTGAACCCTTAAAAATTCTAACTGGAAACAAATAAGATGAAACTAACATAAATTAAATGTAAAAAATAAATTAAATAAATTAAACCTAATTAGTAATATTAAAAAAAACTAATAAAAAAGCTAATTTGAAAAATAATGCACAAATATTTCTAAAAAAAATAATGCTGTATGCCATCCAGGATGGATTGCTTTTACTGAGCTTGTTGCAGTTCATTATGTGGTTGTCAACTGTGCCTTAGAATTTAGTCAAAAGAATTTAGTCTGTGATAAATGAGTCTTTCATTGTAGTCAGGATAAATAATAGACTGATCTCATTATACAACATCAAAAGGTGTGTGCTGTGTTTTGAACAGACATATTTCTCCATCGCTGAAGAGCAGAGAAAAAAACAAAACAAATCTAGACATGCATTCATGTGTGAGATCCTGAATAATGCCTGACTCTGTGTGTGTGTGTGTGTGTGTGTGTGTGTGTGTCTGGCTCACAATTAAGGTCATCCTGGTTAAGAACCGCCCACTTAGACAGGAAGAGACCGTCTGATTGACACAGAAAGCGATCAGTCACAGTTCATTGTGTTTTAATGTGCCTTTTAGGGTCAAGTTTATCAGAAATAGTTGATACCACACTAACTTACACTACCAGTCAACAGTTTTTGAACAGTAAGACTTTTAATGTTTTTTTTTTTTTAAAGAATTCTCTTCTGCTCACCAAGCCTGCATTTATTTGATGCAAAATACAGCAAAATTGTACATTTTGAAAATATTTTGAAATATTTTTTCTATTTAAACTAATCATTTTCTATTTGAATGCATTTTAAAATGTAATTTATTCCTGTGATTTCAAAGCTGTATTTTCAGCATCATTACTCCAGTCTTCAGTGTCACATGATCCTTCAGAAATCATTATAATATGCTGATTTGCTGCTCAAGAAACATTTGTTATGTTGAAAATATAGAATTATTTCATGAATAGAAAGTTCAGAAGAACAGCATTTATCTGAAAAAGAAATCTTTTGTAACATTTTAAATTTCTTTATCATCACTTTTGATCACTTAAAAGCATCCGTGCTAAATAAAAGTATTAATTTCTATAATCCACCTCCATATCATACATTTG